CCAACTTTCTAACAGCCCAAAGACTTGCGGTTAGCTCACCATCCCCCGGGAACACCAGGGCTGAATGGATACCAGAAGCTGTTATCATCAAGTCATCCATCATCATCCTCTCCGATGGGAGCAAAGATGCTGAACGCGAGCAGACGAGAACAGTGGCCGACTCAACTGACGGGGGTGTGATGCACCCTATACTAACGTGTTACTAGGCGCTAAACTTTTAGATTTATAGCGTGCTGACTATTCTGCCGAAACTCTCTATGTGCATGCTCTTACCCTACCAATGCAAAGCAATGTAAATACAAGGAATCTTATCCCACCTTCGAAGAGAGCAGAGGAGTACTCCTTGCCTTTGCCACAGGATAAGAGCATGCCTACAGAGTTACAGCTGAAGAGCTGCAGCATCACCAGTCCATACCTTTTCCACCCTCACAGACCCACCTGGGTGCTCATAACCCCTGTTTGCTCCCCACAAATGCTCAAGACAGCCTGCTTCTCTGCAATCACACACAGCCTAAAACCTGGAGTGAAGAATGTGAAAGCCAAGGACCGAGTACCCTCACGGAGGAAGATGCAGCAACGCAGGCGGTTGTGTGAAGCCAGGTTGTATTTTCTCTGGAAAACATCATCATCTCCCTCTTCATAAAGCTCTTCTATCACAGCAGGAGTGTCATTTCACAGCATCAGCACTGCCAGGCACCCAAAGGAACAAAGAATGAGCAAAAAGATACGACGAGCATGGCCCTGTGCCAAGTGATGCTATTACCCCAAGAGCATGGAGCACACAGGGACTCTGCTGCCACTCTGGGTTTTACGAGAGAGCACTAAGATCACACAGCGCTAGCAGACATGTCTCTCCTACGCAAGTTTGATCTGGAGCTGCCGGGTGTGAGACCCTCCAAACAGGCACGAACTTCTGGAAAGAGGGTTTGCCTTGATCAGAGCAGGTAGGATAGAAACTCTTCACCACACTTCAAGGGAGTTACTTGTTTCATCTTGTCACAGGAGAAGGGAGATAAGAAGTTATTATTGGAACCCCTCAATTATCCCATCACGAGAGGCCTCCGTCTCTCCCTAGGCAAACAGGTTTGGCAGTGCAACTGGTGTCCGGTCTGCCGTCAGACGGACACCCCTCTGGGCAGCACCGGCCCACAAGGCAAGTGCGGACACGGCACCGCTCAGCTCAGTTCCCATCTCAGGTCAGGAGGTCCAAGCTCACCGGAAACCAGACCTGCCACTACCCAAAACTCCAGCCTGCCCTACAGGCTGGCTCGGACCAAGCCACACAGCATCCTGGTCAGGGACGGACCAGGGACCCGAGCACTCGTAGCTCCTCAGCACAGCCCAAGCTACAGCTCATGCCGGCAGATGAGTCGGGAGCAAACCCTGGCCCTGGCCACCAGCCCTTCCTCTAAGCATCCGTCTGTCCCCAAGCACGAGGGGCACGTCGCACGAAGCTCACAGCTGGATATGCCAAGAAAAAACGCTCGACACCTGGGACTCAGCGTGCTTTAACCTGCTCTTGGCCCAGTGGATGCAGCCATGCGCTTCCACGGGCACGTCTCTCCCACTCCTGCCGGGAACGTGCTGCACTGGCAGGCAACGGCTGAACGACTGACAGCAAAAGATGCTATTTCTGAAACCTTTCAGTCTGGAGGTTCACTAGACCGGTTTTGCTGAAGAAGGCATAGCAAGCCCTGACAAAGTTATTAATCGTCATCTATAAAGATGACGACAGCTGGTCAAATTTGGTCCCAAATCTGTTAGTTAAATGCAAAGTGAGCAGAAAATACATACTGATCGGTGATCACGTTTCAGCCACAACATAATTAGCATCTGTGGAAACCACTCGACGTCTTAGACATGGTATTTAAACATCAGCAGAACTACAGAGTTTGACAAGCACATACTCTCTGGGCAACATACTGCTGCAAATGACAGTTAATAGAAGTACAAAAGTAAACAGACTAAAACCCAACAATTTAGGAAGCATAACTGATTAGGCTGTGGCAGAGGGAAGGGGGAAATAAGAGGGTGAAATGACAATGCAAAGAAAGCAGATCTTAAAGCTTATATTATTTTAAACCTTTTGAAGTTGAAAACCTCCAGATACTTACTTTTGCAACTCCACTATTCCAACTGATGATCTCATAAGTAAAGAGAAATAATTACAGTTGCAAAAATTAAATTATAGAAAAAAAATTATAGAATTAGAATAAGAGCTTGCTAAGTTTCAACATGTAGCGTATAACAGCAGCTTTTTAACACATAGTTCTAGGCAAAAAAAAATACTGTGAAATGTATTTTTAAATAGCTGCTCCAGGCTAAAGGTCAGGAAGTATTATAGTACTTCCTTGTAAACAGACCTCTTCCTTCATTTGGCCCCTCCATTCCATTTAGAAATATTTTTTTATAACTCTGTTTGCAAGATAAGAGTCGAGCTGCCAGTCCCATGGGTTGACACACAATTAGTGGTCACAGCGACCACCAGATAAACATTTCCATTGGCAGTATTTTGCAGAAATTGCCTTTTGATGCCAAGAAGAAAAAAGAAAACTATTGGGTACCCATAACTTAATAGCCAGCATTCTTGGATTCCAGTGTCACCACCACAGATTAGCTGGCTGGAAGAAGAGCTCTTACAGCTGTTTACAAGATGTCTCAAAAGCAGGATCTATTGCTTTACCCTTTCCGTCCTACATATCACTCACTCTGCTGGAAAAAAATCGTGAAAACCATTACACTGTCAGGTAAAATGGTATTAGTAACGTTAAGAAGTTTTCCTTGGAAAGCTGCTGTTGCGCCTATGAGTAAGTGAAAACCCACCAAGTTAGACCTGCAGGGCAGCAGTCAGCGAGGACACTGGGGTACTTCCCCTGAGCCCGGGCACAACAAGGGGCCCTTTTACACCCCCAAGCCCTTTTCTCCGCCGTCTCCAGGCCTCCTTCACGAGTCTCGTCCACCCCTTTTCACCTGCAGCCGCCCAGGCCACCGGCGCGAATTAGGAGGGACAAGCCCGCAGAAGGTGGAGCAGGAGAGGGGCCTCAGGGGCCCTGACAAATAGCAGAAAGGTTAAGGGCACGTTTAAGCTCACAGCTCACCTCCCCCAAAATGGGATCAGGAAAGAAACAGCTGCACTACAAGAATAAGGAGCAGCAGAGAAGAGGAGAGCGTCACTCCTGGCCAAGCGAGTCAACGCCCACCAAAGCAGCCAGCCCCTGACAGCACCAGTCTATCGGTCTGCAATAAAAGGGCCATATTAATTACCGCTGGGTTTTGTTCCCTGTACGACGACTGCTGCTCAGGCTCTTAGCACACTCGTAAAGAGGTTATGAATAGCACTCCCCAGACTCCTTCCCTCTACCCTCAAGCCCTCGCGAAGGGAAAAGGCACATTCCTACCACGCGTGGGCTGGGGAGGAAGGAAACCGAGGGGAATGAACTGCTCAGCACCTAATTTCGCAGGTGCATGATTACGATAAAGTCCTTTAAGCTAGCTCAAAGCACAAATAGCCTCCTCTCCTCCCTTCTCCAGCATGGTGGGTCTGCTCCCAGTCCCCTGTGGAGCGCACTGTCTCCCTGGGCATGGCTCTTCGGTCACAGTGCATCAGATGTATTTAGAAAAACTGGGGTCTGCTGGGAACAGCCCACAGCAGCAAAGTCACCTTAGGCCACTACTGAACCTGAGAGGTGTGGGCACAGGTCCCAAGGCCACCGCTCTGACCTAAAATCAAGCATGCAAAATGCCTTTCACTGCTGTACTGAGCAACGCAGGCAGCTTCAGGATGGGGAACCTGCCCAGAAACAGTACTGCCAAGACCACACAACACCGATCCCTCTGCTTCCACATACAGGACGCACGTTTTAGCTTCAAGGTTATCCACTGCTCTGCAGAGCCCAAAGCCCATTTGTGACACAACAGCTATGTCTGTGTTGGGGGGTATTTCTGCACGGAGGCAGGATCTTTGCACGCAAATTGTAAGCATCCTCATTTCTCTTAAATACTTGAGAGATGCAGGCAGTAAGTAGACAGCAGCTAACTGTATGCTATGTTATCACATCTTTAAACACCTTTATCTCTAGAGATCTTAAGTGTACTCGATAAGATGTGTATTTCTTAAGATTTTTATATTTATATTTTATATATATATATATATAAAATATAAATATATAAAAGTCATGAACAGCACCTAGATGGTAAGCAGGGAAATATATTTGCAATTTCTCAGAAACCAAGGAGGACTCAAATTACTGGAAAGAGATTTCAGAACAAACATAGGGAAGTATTTTCACCACAAAGCACGCCATTAAGCTGGGGAACTCACTGCCACAGGATGCTGCAGATGCCAGAAGCATATGTGGTCTCCCTGACGGAGGCAATAAATTCACATAGGAGAACTCTGTTAGGAGCAAAGATGCCTTTGGCATCAGGGCATCCCACAGCCAGGTTTTGCGAGGAACAGGGAGAGTGCGTCAGAACCGACTCGCCTTGCTCTTCAACTGCTTCCCTAGCACCCACTCGGACACAGTGCTGGAGGCGAGAGCGGGCGTCCTGTCACCTCTGACCCACGCTCAGCTGCCCAAGTCAGCGCCATCTCAGGTCGGGACGCAAGATGGTGCGGGGTGGCAGGTGATTTTAGGGAGAGCACTTACAAGCAAGGCTGCCTGCAACACACAGCCCACTTGGTGACACAAAACCCATTGGAAAGAAGGTGGCAACTGGAGAAACAAGCAGTGCGGCTCTATTTAGGATGCACAGTGGGCAGGGTGGGTAGAAGACCCATTTCTTACTGTGTCACAGAGTTCACGGGTTGCGCATGTACAAACCATGCTCAGCTTGCAAGCATCTGCTGCCTTCACCAACCACTTAAGGCACCACAGAGCATCAGGGAAAGGCTGCAGGGGAAAAAATAACTTCCTTCCTTTTCGCATTACGAAAAGCATTTATCAACCAACTACAACTTCTGAAACAACCAGAAAAAAAAACCAAGTCTGCCCACATACCTCTTTGGAGCACCAAGCACATTTTGGATGGATGAGGAGACACTCTTCACAGGACGTGGCACTTCCGCTCGTGCACAGATTGAGACCTTCAGTAACAGAGAATGACAGAGAATGAGATGGGCTAAGTGGTTACTTATTTTGAAAACAGTACTCAGGAGTTTCTAGCTATATTCTTAATCTTAAACTTACTGTAAGTGCAATTCAGTACAGTTTCAAGAGCAAAGAACCTTCCCAGAGCTTAAAAGGCTTGAGGAGGAATAAGCCTTTCTTCTTCACCTCAAAGGAAGTCTTGCTTTCTTTTCCTTTCCCAAGAAAAATGAACAGGACAGAAACTGGGATCAGGGTGCTGAGAACCTCTAAAATATGACTGGTGATTCTTTTTCTCTTTTTCAATGGTCTTTGGTTAATCAAAGAGTTCAGCTCATCTTTCGAATGAAGTATTTCCGTGACTTCTGACAGAATGCAATAGCTGTTAGCCTAGTCTGAAATACGAAGGTGGCTTTCCAAACACCATGGAGAACGCCGACTTTTAAAGTTACAGTAGGCAGATGATCTGAATTTTTCCACCTGAATACATGGGCCTTCCCGCCCTCTCGAATTTTCGTCTTAAATCAGCCTTGAAAAATATTCACCTCCCCCCTTCCTACGATGGCGATTTCCATAATTAACTCATGCTACAGCAAATTACTTTAATTTATTATGGGAGTCATTTCCACAGGATATCCAGGTTAAGCTGGGCAGTCTGTTTACACTGGGAAGCGTCCAAGGCTGGCCAGGATGGAACATGCTGCTCGGCGCCGCAGCCGAAAGCTCTTCCTACACTGGGATGCCAGCAAAGACTCATGCTAAGACATAAACACTGGGATGCCAGCAAAGACTCATGCTAAGACATAAACAGATGGACAGTGATGTTATTCCCTCCTAAATTATTAACATCGAGCAGCACAACGAGTACTGAAAAAGTTCCACTTGCAAAAAGCTAGTACTTGAGCTTTGAGAAGACTTAAAAATAAAGTGGAATAACCCAGGTTAAACAGAACCAAACATCAGTCATATCTGCTTTGACTGCAACAGCTTGTTTAATCATGCCTGTAGCTATGAATGTGCCATTCAACGCCACCGATGCCCCGATTCTCCAGTGCACAGCTATTAACATCAGCTGTCAATAACTAATTAAACACATTTTCAGCTGAGGATTCAGCACAGAGGCTGCACACTCTTCACAAAATGCCTTGGGCTTGAACTCTGAGCCTGCTACTTTTTTCCATCCAAAATGTCAATAAAGGCATTGTCAGGCCTCATGCTACAGTTCATCTATTTTTCAGACATTTATATCTATGGATACCATGGCACTACACTACTGCTAGATATAATTTGGAGATTGTGTAGACTTGCTGACGTCTGGAAAAGAACTACAAAGTTTCGTCCCATAGCAAGAACCTTCTGTTGCAAGAGCTTTTGAGGATACTCCTTGAGAATATTTTAATGAAAAATGAGAATTGGTGGCTCTGGTTGCCTCAGTCACTCCAGTGTGAGGCTGGGCTATACTGCACAGGAAGCAATGAATCAAGCTAGACAGCTGTATGAAAGGTTATTATGCCCTAGGCTAAAAGCAAATAAAGGACAAGTTATCCTGTCACTATTTCTAAGTCATCATTGTGGCATGACTATGTCAAAGTCCTACACTGATGATTTTCTGTTAGCCACAAGGTGGTTAACTCTAAGCCGCCTCCTTTCTCTATGCCTTTCATTCAAAAAGGCTGCATGCTCTCATTCACAGTAAACAAGAGGCTTATTAATTTTTTTTCACTGCCTGTTACCATATAGCCACGCATTTCATTCCTTGGTCACATTCTGAAGTTATACTCCAATCCCTGGGCATTGCAAGAGCTCAAAATATAAATATGTAATATAAAGTAAAATGTTAACTTGACCAACTGAATTACAATTTGCAAGGATGTTAGCTGTGCATTTGCAGACCCTTCAAGAGCAGTGGCTTCCCGCACAGATAAAAGCCTTTCCTCAGCAGCCACTGCTCTTGTAACTGCGCTTTGCAACACAGCAAAACACACGCTTTATGTCTTCTTCATGTGAAATCTGGAGGCTGCGAGGGAAGTAGGAGGGAAACAAACACAAGCGAGCCTTGCCGCCTCAAAGGTGAGAGGAACCACTGGCCACAACCTCCCCAAGTTTGGGATAAAACAGGCCTCGGAAGCAGTCGCACCACTGATTTTATAAAGCGAACGCTTGCGTTCCTACCCTGGCTATCCAACAGGCTTCACTCGCCCTTCTGTCTGGGAACAGGGTAATATTTACCTCCTCTCCTGACTGGCGGATTTTTGAGAGTTTACTTAATAATGGTAGCATCTGAACGAAAAGCAAGGTCTCCTCGCAACAGGGTCGTTTCCGGCGGGTACCATGACTAACCCCTCGCGGCGGCCCACGCTCGAGTAGCTGCCCATAGGGCCACATTCCAGCGAGTGGCAGCTTCTGAAGCTTCAAAGTAGGCTTTTCTTTCCACTCTGAAACACAACCAAAACTTTTCCAGCATTGTTGTGAAAATGGAGCTTTGTTAAGCCGTCCGATTTTATACTGAAACCTGAGCTTTTTGAGTTGGAGTAGAAACACACAGGGTTTTCCAGATGAGAGTCTTATGCTGTGCTTGATTCAGAGCAGTCTTTCACGCCAGATCACACTGAATCGGGCAAAGGAAAGTCCTGAAGATCTCTATGCTAGTCCAGAGGCTCCCAGATCCTGGGGCCAGTAACCAGGGAAGACTGGAAGAAACTCAGTCTGTCTCTTGATTCTGATGTGTTTAAACAAAAACACTCCTTTCAACTAAGCTTCACTTAGCAGGAAAAATTCCTTCCAGGATATAGCTGGGATCACCATGGGGGAAAATAATCCATCCCTCTTAGACCACTGAGCCCCACGCCTCACATACGGTCCTTGTACTGAAGCCGCGACAGTTTTACACCCACCCCTGCTAGAGGCAGGCTCCACATTCACACCACTAACTCCTAAACCCTGCACCTAACTTCACTTTGTGTAACATCATCCAGCAGGTATAAATGGCATCTCCAAACTATGTCCTTTCCCAGGAGAAATGCAGGAGAGCCCAAGAAAGCAAAGCAAAATACTGCATTCATGTGGCTAGCTGAGATTAGTACATAAAACTAACAATGCAGAGCAAGACAGGAGCCTCTTATGAAAGATACTCAAAGTTATTCATAGAGATGCTCCGGGCAATCAGACCTCATTTTAAACCAGTTCTACAAGAAATCTTAGCTTGGGCAGCTCCTCACATTGAGATGAATGTACTAGCTTGCTTGGGGGAAAAAAAAACGATATACTTTATTCTTTATCCACCTAAGCGTGAAAAAAAAAAAAGAAAAAGAAAAAGATCATTTTATCTGTGCTTGCAACAAGGGTTCTAGCAACCTCTTCCCCAAGGTCAGCCGCCCTTCTCAGTCATCAGCTCTAAGCATCAGCCCCACAAAATCGGGGAGGGGGAAGAGAACTATGAAAACTTCTTCAGAGTTTCCACAGCCGCATGCCGCAGCGCTCCCGCCGTAAGAGGAGCCTCCTGTTAAGGCAACTAAGGAAGCATTAAGCACAGGGAGCAAGCAGCGGAACGGCGCGCTCGAAGGGATGCTGCCGGCTCCCCTGATGAGAGGGCTCCGAGCGCTCGCAGGGCAAAATGCCCCTGCGCGGTACGAGCGGAGCGCGGCGGCGCAGCGCACCGGCAGAGCCGGGAGGAACCGGCGCAGGAGCGGAGCGA